TTTCGACGGGATCGTCGTCCTCAGAGGCCTAAACATAGCTCAAGGTTTAGATGTTGTACCTAGAAGAACTACCGAAAGAACCATTCGGGTTCTTTCGGTAGTTCTTCTAGGTTTCCGCCAAAAACGCTAGGGTGTCGAGGCGTTTGGCGGTGTAGAGGGTGCAACATCTAAACCTTGAGCTATGTTTAGGCCTCTGAGGACGACGATCCCGTCGAAACGTCAGGCCAAGTTTAATAAAGTCTTCCACCTACAAACCTCTTTGGCAGAACACATCAAAACTTGAAACTTCTCCATTGCCCTTCTGAATGCGGTGATTGTTCCATCCGGACGTCGGAGGGCGGTCATCTTGGTCTTACAGTTGGCGAAGTCGCGGCGGGCGTTGCGTATGCTCTTCCCAGCCTCTGCGGCTTCCACCAGTACTGCTGCTCTTCTCTCCTTGAGGTCTTCCTTTATCGCTTCTCTGCATAGCTTCGCAAGCTCAGACGTCAGCTGGTAATTGCCTGCGGCTCGTGCGGCTCCACGTTGGCGAATCAGCTCGAGAGTTTCCAGAGATAGACGCTTCTTGGTAATCTTGGAACCCTCTGACTTCTTGGCGCAGTCGTGAAGATGTGCAACAAGCCGTTCGTATTCCTCGTCGATGTTGTCAATGACAGAATCCTCCCAGAGCCCAGCGAGAGAAGTGAAGTGATCCCAGTTGATGATGGTCTTGGGCTTCGCTTCTTGAACTTTGCGGCTCTCTCTCTCTCTCTCTCTCTCTCTCTCTCTCTCTCCTCTCATCGAAAAGCGGAATCTCGCGCGAAGGAGACGATGGTCGGATCCGTGTAGAACTTAGGAACAACAGCGACATCGGTCAGGCAAAACCTTCGATTGAAGATGATGTGGTCGATCTCATTATGGAATTGTCCACCAGGAGACTCCCATGTCCTAGCATAGAAAGTAGGGTACTGCGAGTTACCATGGATGGTATGGGTCGACATGATAAACTCAGACAGCCTTTCACCCTGCTCATTCCACTCCGTTCCGTGAGTTCCGATGTGAAGTTCTTCAGCCGTTCTTCTTGGTCCGATCTTAGCGTTGAAATCACCGACGATGACCTTAAAGGCACATTCCGCGATAAAATAAGGCTATGACCTCTCAAATGTGTCGGACGATCCGGAAGGCGATTTTTGAGGCTGCGCTACTTTCAAAATGTGAAAAACGGCAAGAACTCCGCTAGAAGCTGACTAATTAGGCCCATGGACACCCCTTAGGCCCATCACCGGCTGCTAGCTACTAGCTAGTAGCCACTATGTTATCTTTCTCTATAACATTTCGGACTGCTTTTTCTGCTGCTTTTCTCCGCTAATCAGATACTTAGCACTTTTTTGTGCCTATTTGAGTTCCGTTTCCCGCAATTTGCGGTCGCGAACTGTGCCTTTAAAGAAGGCATGATCTTCCTTGTAGAACTTCTCCAATTCCATATAGAACGCTTCGAGCTCATCCTCGTCGTAGCTTGATGTTGGTGCGTAGGCGACGAAGATTGTCAAAGCTGGAGTTGAACCACATCTTCTCAATCGCAAACGTCCGATTCGGGTCGTCAGATTTTCGTACGAATCGATGTTCATGGCCAAGTGCGTGTTGACGAGGACGCCCACACCGCCAACGCCTCTGCTGTCGCATGTTCCGAGGAACAGTTCTTCTCCAGTCTCGTATACGGCGTGTAGCGGGCGATGCCTCCTCGTCTCGGTCAGTCCGATGACGTCGTACTTGATCTTCCTGGCTTGCAACATCAGATCTTCGATGTGAGCTTCCGATGCAAGCGTCCGTGCGTTGAAAGTACAGATCGTCATCCTAGTCCTGGGCGACTTAAATCTCCGTTGGCCCTGTGATTCTTGCAGCCTCGCCCGAGCGGTCCCAGCCGACGTCGCCCTGTCGGTGGTTCCCTCAGGTTCAGGGGAATGAGGCCCATAATTATTACTGTTTTCGGCGTGAAGAAATTTGACCACGCGTAGCTCGCCAGGCTCTGACGTGGCACCCTCCGCATTGGTACGGTTTGGAACAGTCCAAACCGTTCACCCCCACGCCACGTTGAGGCTGCGGATAGGTTGTGGGAGTTGAGAGCTTATAGCCTGAATTTATCGTGAAAGGTTCGCAACTGGGCTAACCGGTTACATTACTCATGACAACCGGACATAGTCTCTGCAAGGACCAGAGGTATTTTTTCGTAGCAGCTACTTACTCAGCCGTTGAAGGGAGAAGAAAAAGGAAGAGGGAAGAGAGAAGGAAGCAAGGGAACGAAGGAAGGAGGAGGAAGAAAGGATGGAGGAGGGAGGCTTCGCGGGTGACAAGTATCCCGTGAGGGGGCTTATCAATGGTGACGTGCGGATGACGCCAACATTGTCCATCGCAACTGCAACGCTGGCCGTATCTTCCGAGGATTGGCTCCTGCAATTTAGGAATTGGCAATGAAGAGGTCTCCTCAGAAATTTACGGCGATCGCAATCCTACTACTCCGAAGGGATTATATAGAACACAATAATGATCTTCTAGAGCCACAAAACGAACTTAGAAAAGTTTCGCGGGTTTTATGAAAAAACGCTCAATGCTACATTCGTGTTCAGGAGCGGTTCATCGCTGACATAAGAAGACGACGATGGATGAAGATCCTCCACCCAAACACCCTCAGTATTCTAGCCACCTAGTTAAAAGAGACATTGGCGGTACGCCTACCGCTTCTCGAGCTCCCGATACTTCAGGCACAAAAGCACCTTCGACCCACCTGTGCATCCAAATGAGCGGTGTGGAACCTGCCCCGGAGAGGCTTATGTTGTGCACACGCACAACATAAGACGCTGACTCTGACTCGTAGCCATCATTGGCCAGGTTGACTGAAAGACAGGATAGAAGTCACGTCGAGTGAAATTGATGCTGGATACGATCCCTTCCTCCCTACTTCTCCTTCCTAAAAGAAAGGAGGTAGTCCCTGTACGACCATCGCCCTTAAAAAAGATGATGTCGGAAATATCGCGCATTCAGAAGTAGTAGTCGCGCAAGCGTTCAAAACGCTTTCTGCAGTAGCACTGAGGCACGTTATTTTGCGACATTTTGTGAAATGGGCTAGCAACTTTTTTGACAGCAGAACTCCAGAACTGGGAAGGCAGGGTTGTGATGTTTCAGAGACTTTGGCTCAATGAACGCAGGATCAACATGTGATCAGCGTCACTAAAGGGGTGACACCCGAAGTTTTCGCCATACGCAGTTGAGACAGGGAATCTGGAGCTTCGCACCGACGACGAACTGTATTTGCCAAGGTTCCAGAGACCAGGTGGCGGGAACTATGCGCTTCGAAGATGACCGTTGGGCCAAAGCAATACCGACTGGATTCCGCGGTATGTCAAGCTAACACCTGGGCGTATTTGATTTTTACAAATATGTAGGACGAGATTTGGAGCCATAAGGGCAAAAAGAAACGGTTGTGAGACAGGCAGGGAAGACTGTTGCCTAAGTCTGGAGAAGATCTTTTCGTTGCCCTAGCGCCCTACAAAAGAAGTGGCTTCCGCATTTCGTGCGAAGTAGTAAACCTATTTTCGGAAAAGGGCCTATGGAAGCGGACAAGCATTCGTGTTTGAAGGCAGATCATCGGAAATGATCATCTTTCATATTGTATTGGCACTGCAATCGGAATCTATCACAAATAGGGAGAGCTCTCCTCCGAGTGGGACCTTGGCAGAGCTAGGAGATGGACTTGATCAGCATCAGTGGGGAAGACCCTTCGAAGAATAGCGCCTGCTGCTTGAAGGCAGTTAGCACGCTATGCCCTTGAAGGAGTAGGATTAATGGGATTAATACGCCTGGCAGGACGGAATTCCGCGTCCCTATGTAGGTGCTGCGTAGTACCTTTACCAAGGAAGGTATCCTTATAAGGCCCTATCAAGCTGCAACATACTGACCCGAACGCCTATCGCGCCCACAAATGGACGACCGTACCTGATGCTCGTATTGCTTCATTTGCGAAGTAAAATATGAAGCGAAGGGACGATATGAAGCGGCTGCGGTGCTGCATGGATATATGAGTACATACGTGCAGCCGTATCTACCGTAGCGGTTATTGGCAAGATGCCAACGGGAAACTCGTCCGAAATTGCTTTCTGAGTCGTTTAGAACAAAGGCTTTTCTTCGCAGGTTTTTGACCGTTTCACTTCGTTTCTTCGCCGTTTACTCACTATATGGAACCCCGCGTTTTAGCCCGAGTACCAAATTATCAGCGATATGCCTTTGGTCTCCTCGTGGACATTTCTTGAATGCACTTCTACAATGAGGCATTGGCCTCAGGGCTGTTTTATTAATCAGTGATCGTTGTTGATTGATTTGATATTGCACTTGGTATAAATTGCATATTACACTTGATTACCGAGGAGGACGAGACTAGTTTTAACTTCCGAATTTGTGGTCAAATTTATAGGCGTGAGGCGGAACAACGTAAAATAGGGAATTACGCTCGTAATCGAGATAAGGGATAGTACTTACGAAATCCTTGAGAAGTAGTAGGCGTGGCTGCTGCTTCTAGAGAGATATTTGAGACAATTGCAATCATGGTTCCGTCCATCACTGAACAGGATGACGGTTGTCTCGAACGGTAATGGTTTAAGGTATGCAATTACACTGCTACCCAATCTGTAACATCGGGATAGAGAATGATAAATGGAACGGCGGGCTCTTCGTCTGCTGTCTGACTCGTATGGGGAGACGCAGAGGAAGCGTGCTAGTAACCCCATGGCGCCGCTTGCGTCATTTGCAGCTTATGTCCTTTAACAAACTTACATCGGCTTGTAATTCATTTCTGTGGGGAATTTTAAGTTTTCTTCGCATTTCTTTCATGGACCAATTGTTTTTGATATGAGATCTTTCATTGTATATAGGATTGATCGAGTTCGGCATTAACGGTAACTTTTGCATTGATTTATTATTGCCGGCATTTTAAGGGTTACAAGTTGCTGTTGGAAACTTCCGACACTTCCGTCATGACCACAGGTGACTCAATATTTTATTCAAGCTGCTGTTATCAGAATAATTTCTAGTGTTTCTACAGAAGCTGAACAAGATCAGGCCCAGACGTGGCTGGCCAAACAGGACCTCGATAAGATTGGAGCGGAAAACTTAACACCACTCACTGAAGAGGTTAACTAAAAATTATGACTGTGACTATCTGGAATTTGGGTTTTGTATAAGTTGCTTTCATCTTTGAGAGTTGAGGGCTCATTGTGAATCTGTTTATTGCAGGTAATTTCACGCCAGGCCACCATTAATATTGGAACAATCGGACACGTAGCTCATGGAAAGTCAACATTAGTGAAAGCCATTTCCGGTGTGCACACTGTCAAATTCAAAAACGAATTGGAAAGGAACATCACCATCAAGTTGGGATATGCAAATGCGAAAATATATCGATGCTCCAATATAGACTGTCCACGTCCCGGATGTTACAGGTAATTACTTGAAGCACATTGTTCGAGTGAAATGAACAAGATTGTGGATTTTCCTATAGTCGCTCCAGGGCTATCAATCCATTTCATGACATAAACCTGGGGTATATCAACTTCCAGTCCCACTTTTTAAAATCGTTGTCTGCCATAAATCTCACTTCTCTAAAGGGAAACAAATCTGTAATCCGGATCAGTTTTGAGAAAAAGAATACCCGTCAGCTTCCATCGAAACCAGTGGGATCTTCAAAGTAAAGTCACTTTCGAGATGGCACCCTGACCTTTTTAAAACTTTGTTTTGTTTTTGTGGTTATGCCTCTACTACGTCTTTTATTTCGTTTCTGAACACAGCAGTACTATCCTTTTATTCATGCGACTCCTCTTTATGGGCAGCGGGGAAAAGTAAAACTCTGGAACATCGCTGTTAGCCCTCTTTTGCTGGACCGAATTTGCTGCTGAACTCGCCTAGGCGTGCATTTCCGCCTTAGCGTGCTGAATTTTCTCGCCTTGGCGTGATCTTGGCTTGTATTCCGCTGGTGTCATAAAGGTAAATGGTAAAGGTACTGTACGTATCTCCGGTTCTCATCAATTGTTTTTGCGTTGAGTTTGTCCCTTTTATTACAAGCATATCGAAGAGTGGGAAAGCATGAGCAACATAAGGCAGCGTTCAGACTTCGCGACGGCAGCGCTTTGGTCGCACGTTCGACGCGATCGATGCAGTTAAAAGTGTGCGCATTGATTCGCATTTGCGCCCCAAGGCGCTGCCGTCAGTTCGAACGCTGCCTAAGCGGCAAGAGTACTTTTTTTACATAACATTCAGGGCGAATAATATTGATCTTGGCGGAAAAGCCCATGGTAGACTTCACCTTCAACCCCTTGGACCCTCACCTCGCGACCTTCGCGCCCATTTCATCAGTACCCTCCACTCTTTGCTACAGACTCAATTCAGTAATTTATTACTTATTACCAACATTTTTGTCTAGTGTTCCAGGTTGCCTATATACTTCTGGTTTGAAAGATCGTTACTTTTGTTGGATATTCACCGCATTTCTCTCTCCCTGAAATTCATAGTCCACTCCTTTTGACCTTACTGATTAGATACTGTGCTTACATTCGAAGAAATTATTACCTAACTTCCTGTTAACAGGATCAGGAAGCGCTTTTCTTCCAACTCACTGTGCAATTACAGATCACTCTTGATCAGCCTTATAAAACATTGGCATTTATATCAAAAATAATCCAATCATAAGCGACATTTTGTGCTCTTAAATTTGAATAAGGCTTTCCCTTAGTTGATGTAATGGAGTACACTACATGTATTGTGTTGTCCTCTTCGTAGCCAGTGCGCTTCTCGATTCCAGATCAGCCGGCTCATCAACCCCGGATCGTTTTCCGTGTGAACGGCCAGGTTGTGGGGGCCAATTCACTTGTGTTCGCCACGTATCCTTCGTCGATTGTCCTGGTCACGACATTCTTATGGCAACTATGCTTAACGGAGCTGCTGTTATGGATGCTGCTTTTCTTTTGGTCGCAGGTGTACAAATCAAAAATGCTTTTATCTTCCTCCAAACATCGTGACTTTTTTCAGGTAATGAGCCGTGCCCACAGCCTCAGACTTCTGAGCACTTGGCTGCCGTTGAAATCATGCAATTGCAGCACCTTCTCATCCTCCAAAATAAAGTGTGTTACTTCGATCCGTTCTTTCGAATGTTGTTTTTGATTTACTGAAAAGTTTAATAATACCAGAGGACTTCAGGTCGATATCATCAAAGAGTCTCAAGCTCGAGAGCAATATGATCAGATTAAGTCTTTCGTGCAAGGTACAGTTGCTGACAAAGCTCCAGTGATTCCAATTTCTGCACAACTCTTCCAACGTTGATGTAAGTATTTCTGTTTCGGTAACGTTTTTCGCAAATCCACTTCCGCTTTTTAGCTTGTTTGTGAATACCTGTGCAAAAAGGTGCCAGTCCCACCTCGTGATTTCACCTCTCCTGCTCGCCTAATTGTTATCCGATCATTCGACGTGAACAAGCCGGGATCAGAAGTTGAAAATCTGAAGGGTGGAGTAGCCGGAGGTTCAATACTTCGAGGTCTGTGTTCTGAATTCCCTTCTGTAGAGCATATTTTGCTTGTTCTACATTTATTATATTTTTGTGCTACTTCTTTATTTTTGACGTTTTTCGAAACGTATGCAAATAGTGGCAACACAATAATAGCACGGTTCGTGATGTTAGTGCTTTCGACATGAATGAGTGAGCACTTAACATGGAAAATGAGTCGCGCGTTTTCGAGAAAAATTTTAGTGCTTTCGACATGAATGAGTGAGCACTTAACATGGAAAATGAGTCGCACGTTTTCGAGAAACTGGGACTTAGAAGAATCGGGTACTCTCAATGTAAATGTTAACGAACTCGAGAATATTAACAGATAGTTTAAAGGCAGTTGGCACGATGGTTTCCCACTCGGCCTAAAATGCTAGTAGGGCGCTATGTAGTGGGGAAATGGCGAAAGAACGGAGTGAAACGGTCAAAATCCGGCGAAGAAAAAGCCTCCGTTCTCAGTGACTTGAAAATCGATTTCGGACGAGTTTCCCGTACGCATCTTGCCAATCACCGCTACCGAAGATACGGCTGCATATGTGTACCCATATATGCATGCAGCATCACGGCCGCTTCATACCAATCCCTTTGCTTCATAATTTGCTCAGCAAATGAATGAATACGAGCGTCAGGAACGGTCGTCCGTTTGTGGGCGGGCGGGCGAGGAAGGCGTTTGGGACGGAATGTTGTTGCTCGATAGGGCGTTATAGGGGTACCCTCCTTGGAAAAGGCGCCACGGAGCGCCTGTCCGAGGTCACGGAATTCTGTTAAGCCAGTCGTATAAATCCTACATCTGTATAGCGATTTATCGTGCCAACTGCCTTTAACACGTTCGAGGCGGCGTGTACTCCCGGGAGTACACGCGGAAACCCCTGTTTTCGGTCATTCGTACAGTATTGCGAAAACACGCGCATATTTTTTGTTCTTTTTGCGACTGATTATATTCTACTAGCATACATTTACACAATTAACACATCAATACGAAGAAAAATTGTAAAAATAAGCCAAAAACAACGACGAACGTGAGTTCTGGGCGAAATGGCCTTCGCCTCGAATGTGTTAAAGGAATGAGTGGAACAAAGTTGTAGGAGTGATATTGACCGGTTTTCATCAGAGATCTTGAGTTGGAGATCCCGTGGAGGTTATCAGAAGTAGGTGGAGAATACTTTTCGGGAGAGAAAGATTCAGAAAAATGGTTGCACGTGGAGAAGGTGGCAAGCGCACATGAGCCATGGTTTCCTAGGAACCTAGTGAGATCCTTACTGTTTTAGCCTTCTACACCGACGCCGAGCCCTTAATTCACGTTAACCTCTTTTCCCCCTTCTCAGATTCAAACATGTTGCGGGGTAGGAGAGGAAGAATTTCGGCACTATTTACCCTACTGCCCCAATCATCCGGAATCGAGCCAGTTTCGACCGACTTTTTTCTCCGTGGACAGATTTGGCTCAAATGTTGTCTCCTGGGGTAGTTTGACCTCCTTAATACGAATATCACATCTGCGCCACAGGCGCCAGTGATTTGGGGTATTTTGGCGCCGGCACCTGTGGCGCGGGCGCCAGGAGGTTTTGGGCCAAGCGGATGTGATATTCGTGTTCAGGAGGTCAGACTACCCCTGGGAACAAGTTTTCAGCGAATTTGGTGATTTAGGGCATTTTGGAAAAGTAGGTAAAAGTTTCCTACACGACTGCCCCGCGACTAGTGAGTTATAGTCATGTCGAGTATGCGGGACTCAAACACAGTCCGCCCACCTTCCAGGCGATGTGCTAATTAATGTGGTACCAACACGGTGCTACGAAATGTCAAAAAAGCTATTTTTTTGCAGGGATTCAGCAGGTTGGTCAGGAAATTGAAGTGCGCCCTGGTATTGTATCCAAATCTGGCGATGGCAAAGTACATTGTCGGCCGATTTTCTCGAAGATTGTCTCCTTATTCGCAGAACAAAACCATCTAGAATATGCTGTTCCTGGAGGTGCGCCTTTCCCTGATTAGTTGCCTTTATCAACGATCCACAAGTCTTAAGGTTTAATTGGTGTTGGCACAAAGATTGATCCGACATTGTGCCGTGGTGATCGCTTAGTAGGACATATTCTGGGCGCCGTAGGAACTCTACCTGATATTTTTACCGAGATTGAGATTAACTTCTTTTTACTACGACGGCTCCTTGGTGTACGTACCGAAGCCAATAAAAAAGCAGCGAAGGTTTGTTTTCATTTTCCAGTCACTTTTTTTTACAGGCAAACCTCATCACTCATGAGCAGTTTTTCTCTTAGGTGCAAAAATTAGCCAAAGGAGAAGTTCTCATGGTGAACATAGGGTCGTTGTCCACTGGATGTCGTGTGATCGCTGTGAAAGGTGAAGCGGCAAAGATCGCTTTGACTGATCCTATATGCACTGAGGTATGCTGATCCTTCTTTATAACCCTTCAACATTTTCAATTCAAAACCGACATAATATAATAATAATCATAATAATGTGGCATAATATGTTTATAACCTCCTGTTATTCAAGTTCATATCATTCAATGTCACAAACTCCGAAAGCATTGGAGATGACTGAGGGGGAATAGCTTCTGAAGTCAGCCCAGGGCACGCCATCGTTGTGATGATTACAACGGGGGGGGGGTCGTATTTGATCCGAGAGAAATTGTTTCAAAATTTTCGGGAAAACCAGAAATTTTTTTTGGAAATTTCGGAAAAAGTGGGTGAAAATCTGAGAAACTTTCCTGTTTCACAGTGGGTATCCCCCCCCCGCTCGACGGAAAATTCTTGGCTGAAAAACTGGAAATTTTTCGGGGAAAAAGTGGTAGGAAGTTGGGAAAATCTAGGAAAGTGGTAGGTAGCATGGTGGGGGAGGGGGGGGGGTCGTATTTGAGGATAGAATTGAGGGGGTCTTATTTTTCAGGAAATGATCACAACGCATGGCGTGCCCTGGTCAAGCCTCCTTCCATATGAACAGATTTGTCAAACAATGTTCAGAGCGGGTGGTCTAGCAAGTCATTGTACAGAGTCCCATCGCATTCAGTAAGCCTTCCTGTTTTGAATGGAGTAAAGAGCGTGCTGCATCAAGTAGTCAAAGGTGAAAAAATTATTCCTTACGCTTTAGGCAGCGTTCAGACTTCGCGACGGCAACGCTTCGGCGGCGCTTCGGTCGCACGTTCGAACGCGCGACCGAAGCGCCGCCGAAGTCTGAACGCTGCCTTAAAGAAGATTCCCCGATCTTTTTGAAGTTCTTCATTTTCGAAGAAAAAAGCTTCATTTGTTGTTACTTCTGTTTTAAATTTACTTGCATATCAAATCGCCCATTTTTACCCAGTACTCAGTCAAAAATAATTCTCGGTTGATAGATGGCTCGTACAGCAATGAAATAAAAGGCAAAACTTTGCTGATAATCAGTCCCTTCTTAGGAATCGAATTTTCCCCCATTCAGTATCGCAGTGGTTATTGAATGTTGTGTAGCCCACACAATGATTTGAGGAGGCCAGCCGATGTACAAGTCAGTATACATATCTCCTAGAAGAATCTGGAACCAATTTGCTTTCCCAGTCCCCGGGCGAAATAGGACTTGGTTGCCTGGAGCCGATCCGGGAGCTCAGCCCGACCGCACGTGTGGTCAGCGTGTCACTCGTCGCTGCACGACCACTGTCTCGTACGTGAATAGTGGCTGTAAAACAATTGATCGCAAGTGTTGTGCATTACCGCAAGTAGGGCAGCTTTTTTGGAAGATTGTGACCCGTCACTGTAATTCCGTTCATAGATTTGTTTCAGATCGGCGAGAAAATTGCGCTATCACGTCGAATTGAGAAACACTGGCGACTGATAGGATGGGGTACCATTCGACGTGGAGTCACCATTGAACCAGTCAAAGCTGAGCACTGTTAAGCCCTGCTTGATCGACTATTTACTGTGCTCTTCACTATGGTTGGTTCGTTGGAAATCGGGCTGGTAACTAAGATTATCCTCTATGATTCCCTATTATCGTGTGTTCTCTCTGCTATAGGAAACCAAGAGAAAGGTAGAATACCTCCCACCCATCGCTGCAAATTGAAACTAATTAGCGGTGGACACTCGGCTTCTTAATGCCTACCGTTGATGTCGTTTCCGTTCTGCAAACGAATAAGGGCACTATCTGAAAGTAGAAATATAAAAGAAAAACTAAAGTAGCGCCTTCAGAAATGAGCGGTGCAAGAAAGCCTATTCAGTTCTCACTGTGGTCATCTTAATAAGCACCACATTGGCGTTTTTTTTGCGTGTACGTTTCTGTGTAGAATGTGACGCTGTGCTGCTTGCTCGTGCTCGGATTTTCGTATTAAGGTATTTTCTCGCTTAGATTTGAATGGATTATTCATGGGTTTCTTGCCGGTTCAATTCCGGCATTGTTGCCTCGTTTAGCCGTTGCTGTTATTTGTTGTTTTCTTTTTACGATGTGGTTCTTGACCCTTTCCTTCTGTGAGTTCTTCGGCGTCAATATAGTCGAAAATCTCGGATTATGTTTCTGAATCTTTGCTGTTATCACGGTTTGATAAAGAAATGTATTCGTAATTGCTCTTTTCGCGGTATCATAACGATAAACTCAGTCATGACTTTCATCTCGCAGATATTGTTTTCCTGGAGAAAAAAATCAGCGACGAACATTTTGGCATTTGGGCAGTTATTTGGGGGATGATGATCGCACTGGTTTCTGATGCTTCATTCTCGCTTAAAGGCAGTTGGCACGATAATTTGGTACTCAGCCTAAAATGCTCGCAGGGCGCTATTCAGTGGGGAAAATGGCGAAAAAACGAAGTGAAACGGTCCAAAACTGCGAAGAAAAGCCTTCGTTCTTGAAAAGCGATTTCGGACGAGTTTCCCGTAGGCGTATTGCAAATAACCGCTCCGGTAGGTGCGGCTGCATGTATGTACTCATATATCCATTCAGCACCGCAGCCGCTTCATACCAATCCCTTCGCTTCATATTTTAGCAAATGAAGCAAAACGAGCATCTGGTAGGTCGTCCATTTGTGGGCGGGCGGGCGTGGTAGGCGTTTGGGTTGTAGCTTGATAGGACCCTTATAAGGGTACCTCCCTAGGAAAAACCGCTACGCAGGGCCTGCTCAGGGTCGCGGAAATCCGCCCTGCCAGGCGTATAAATCCTACTCGTCTTTGGGATTTATCGTGCCAACTGCCTTTAACGGAACGAATATATCTGAAAGCTCTAGCTACTTGTTCCTGAGTCGAGAAAATATGAACAGCTCAGCACCAAAGCTGAGCTGGAGGGAGCAGCGGCTTGGAGAGCTTTCAGTAAGCCTACACAGTGGTCAGACTTCTTCGTGAAAATTCAGAACGGATAGTATGGTGTTCATCGTCCCTCGAGCCCACAGAACCCATTGGGTAACGCTGGCATGTTGTGAGGAGGAATGTCACTGGCGTCTGGTCGAGCAACTCGATGATCAGTGGGGCACAGGTATGTAATTTAGAGGAGATCTCGACATCTTTAATGGTAAATTAATGTTCAAGGAGGTAGTGTAATCCAACTGTTATGTCTCCGTTGGTTTCGTACAAAGCGTTGGTGAAAGCCAAGGAATTAGAGAAAGCATTATCTGACAATATAAAAGCTGCACAATCAGTTGTAATTGCTATAATTTGCATAGCAACGTGGTCTATGTTTATGTACTTTTACTGTGATGACGATAAGAGTGCGTACATACTTTGCGTCAGCTTTTTAAGTATGAGCGTAAGCTGATGTAATGCTCAAACCCAAGACGCTGAGTCGATACCTGTTCTTTGCTAGTACATCGAAAACTCTGGCGTACGCTCAAAGCGGTACCGTACGCTTAAAACGATGATCAGTAGGGCGCGTGTTTGGGTACCTCGTTTTCTTGGAGAGGGACGAACGCAGAACTGATTCGATGTCTGCAGGGACACCACATAAGATGTCATTCAGGACTGTGGAAGCGCAGCATTCCCCTAAACGAAATATTGGTGGTCTTGTATCAGACCCGAAATTCACAGGCGTCAATTTTGTGTGAATGCTGAAGAGAAGACGCTCGAATTTTGTCATGAGGATCACGTGAGCCCGATGGGATCAGAGCGATGGGTTTCCGCACAGTGGCTTTCGAGCGGTTCTCTCCAGAGAACAAAACCGTCGCTGTAGGTGTACACTGCCTGTTTTTCGACAATGAAATCTACAAATAGACGGTGCCACAGAAGTAAAGACCATTGCTCGCCACAGTGCTAGGCCCCGAGTAACCGTATTATTGGCTAGTGCTCCGACGGCAGCAATTCCAATCAGAACTGCTGTCGAATATTCAATTACCTCTGACAAACGAGGTCATTAGATGAAACCGTCGGCCTAACGTTCATACCGTCTAGTCTTCTTCAGAGGCCTGAAAATGGCTCGAAGCTTTTAATTTGTTACCTACCCGACCAAACGCCCTTCCCACTCTAGCGTTTCCGACCTCGGGCCCCGATCGCTCTTGAACAACCCAGCAATAACTGCAAACAACTCACGGAAGATCGCTCCAAGGTCTCAGACCTGGGTTTGATCGCCTTACTCGCCCGACCTACACCCTTACGACTTCAGCAATTCGACGACTTAATGAAAGGCACATTCCGAAGGCAGACGCTGCATTTCGCGATCGTAGATATTTTCATCAACAGCGTCTTCACTCGCATTTGTTGAGAAACGAAGGTGCTAGGTGTCTACGCTCCTTGAACTTGGAAGCTTGCCGCTGATGAAAGAGGGACCTTCTTAACTCGGAGCCGATATATTACTTCTTTATCCGTTTTCCTCTTTTTTTTCTGAATAAACCTTTCACGTTTTTGAATGTGATTTAAACTATTAGGTTGTCCGGAAAGTTCAGCACGTTTTCGAGTGTTTCACTTTAAACGATCATAACTTTCTTAACACTCATCGGATTTAATCCAAATAAGCACCATTCGAATCAGCACACTTTTGCCAATGTGACAGCAGTCCCATCAAAGAAAAAAAACTGGGTGGTCGAAAAGTTCACGAAATCCACGAAGGCTTTTTTGCCTGGTCCTGATTGATGAAGTATTTTCCAGCAAGGGAGTTCTGAAAATGTTGAAAAGGTGATAGTCGGTTGGCGAAAGGTCTGAAGAATATGGCGGTTGAGGTAGAACTTCAACCCCCAATTCGTTCAATTTATGGATAGTGATTTGTGAAACGTGTGGGCGGGCGTTGTCATGCAAAGGAATCGGACCCTTTCTTTTGAGGTGGTTCGTCGGAATCCAACCACTGTCCTGGAACGTCTCCTGTTATCATACATGATCCATTTTTCATCACAGGTGACAATTCGGTTCAAAAACGGGTCGTTTCTGTTGCGCAAAAGCAGTGAAGAGGAAACCGCGAGACGTGCCAATTTCTGCCGGTCACTCAAATTGTGGGGCACCCACTTATCGAGTTTTTTCACCTTCCCAATGCGTTTCAGACCATCTGCAACACTGGATTTGCCAACGCCTAGCTTTTCTGCAATCTCTCGAACTGTTTGGGATGGGTCAGCCTCCAAAATCCCCTTAAAATCCTCGTCAGATATTGCTTTAGGTCGACCGCTATGAGGTTCATCTTCAAGGCTGAAATCTCCAGAACGAAATTTGTTGAACCATTGCCGCACAGTGCTTTCTCTAGCACTATTGGGCCCCCACACCTGGTTAATTTGTTGAGCTGTTTCGATTGCGGATTGCCCCAATTTATAGTCGAAGAAAAAAATCGTCCGAAGTCTTTTCACATGCTTGAAAAAATCTTGAAAAAAGGGGTTCATCAAGCAATGGTGAAACGGCAGTTATACCATCAGATAGCGCAAAGAATTCTCTTCAGGATGTACTACTGAGACGGAAGGGAGAGTTTTTAATCAGCAATGAATGTTCAAAAAGTTTTGGTAGGATGACTGATCGGTCGTGAAAGGGGGTCTTAATGGAGGAAGAGAGATTTGGGATCGTACTTAGCAAAAATTGTCCGCACCCCAAGTACGTGTCCTGTTCGCATTCTCTGTATACAAATAGGCATTCTTGCGAGAGCATATAGAAAAGCGCGTGGGAAAAACTTTACATTCTATTCACGGGACTGTCCAGCAGATCTCTAAGATTTGTAGGGTAGACCTGAAACTAGCACTCTAACTCCAGTAATAGGAGCATGTCACAAGTGTAAGCCCGCCGCGACTTGGATTAGCGAACAACCCTCTCGCGACCCACTGAGAATAGATGCGCCGAGGAAGGCGGGAAGTTCAAAAATTTGCGGGAAACGAAAGCGTTTTATTATGGAAATGGGATGGTAGCTCATTTCCTTTTCTCTTGTGGGTATTGAATTACTTTATTGCTTCTTTATTATATGGTAACATGTCTCGCATAATATTCAAACTGAAGTACTCTCTCTTGATTCTAGATTAGTTCTGCACAGTCCCTTGCATTTTTCCCAAGATCTCAAAATGATTTTCTGTGTTGCAGCGAGTGGTAACTGTTTGAAAGATGTCGAGCACTGGTCGTCGAACTCCTTCAAGACGTCAGGGATCAAGTCAAGCATCCGCTCGATGTTGGTTGATTTAACTCGCTCCTCTATCAGTATTACCAATCAGTAACCCTGAGAGAAGTTGACAAATACCTGACGCCTTCTGTTTTCAGCCGAAAATCCAAGCACAGGTACAAGGACGCCTGATCTCCGTTCACTTCCTCAGAGTGAAGCTGGAATGGCCAGTGATCGATCTCCGATCCCATCTGCACGTAGGTTTCCTTACAAACACAGTCATACGTTGGAATCATCGTAGTTTTTACAAAGACGTTTAGTCTTGGGGTAGGAGGTACAGGAGAGCGCCTATGTTTTACTTCTTTTCTCCAGTACCCAGGCTTCACGTATATAAAGTATGGGAGGAACGGGGTAGGACGGAGGCATGGCTTGGATAGCAGCCAAGGCAGATTTCCCTCCAGTTGTAGCGAGTCGGGATGGTAGCTTTGTTGGAATAGGGCCGCTGGCTGCGTTTCGATACGCGTCGCGTCACTCGCTTTATCGTTTGTAAGGATCATGACTGTAGCTGCCTGGAGGGAGAAGGCTGTACTCTGCCTTCGTTTGCTGAGGCAGCGTTTAGACTTCGCGATGACACGCTCGACGCGCTGTACCACACTGCTAGTGCAACAGCGTTCCAATTCTATAGACGCAAACGCAGTCTCAGATGGAAGTATTGTATCGATCAGCACCGCACTAGCGGCCCGTACCGATCGATACTATGCTGCGTGCTTAGGAAACGCGCACCTTCCAGTTCCTCCCAT